TCGGAATATTTTTCATATAACTACTGTTTTCACTTTCATCTTGTACCTCAAGCTTTTGTAGCTTTCCAGGGACAGAAATATAGCTGGCTGAAACTTGAGATTTCTGTTCACATGAAATATTTTGAAATGTGGAAATTTCACATGAACTGAAAATTTAAAAAAAATAGTTTTGGAAATATGGACACAGTGTTTCTGAAAGGAAATATGCTCCCTGGGATCATGGCAGCTGCTGACTGAAACTGAAATTCTTGTAGGCACCAGGGCAGCCCGGCAGCGTGGACTGCTCTGCTCTGGGGACTCCTGAGTTTCCAGACTTCCAGGGTTGCTGGCTCCCTGGGCTGTCCTGGAGTTGTGAGCCCTGGAAACCCATCCCAGAATGCTCCAGACTCCCACCTCTGCAGCAGGGAGCCAGGAAGTCCTAATAGCCCTGTGAGCCCTAGCTTGAATTGGGGTTCAGGCTTTCCAGGCTCCCAGCTCCATGGCAGGGAGCACTGGCATGGTGGCGCTACCCTGGAGTCAGACCCTGTAAGCTCTGGGCTCCCTAATCCTGGGGCAGTCCATATGATGGGTCTGCCTCTGAGCTGTGGACCCTGGAATCCTGGGCTTCCCAGCAGCCACCAGGTGAGCAAGCAGGGAACCAGCAAGTTTGTTGAATCAAGCTTATTTTCACAAGACGTTTTGGGTTTGACAAATTGGCATTTTTGTTGGAAATGACCAGCTCTAGCTGGGAGTCTGTCTTCATGTTCACGCTGTTGATTTCCCCCCCATAAGCATACCTTGCTGCTCTACCAGTCCCTGATGCTCAGACAGGTCTTTTCATTTAGTAGAAAACTTCTCCAGGGTAGAATGCAAAGAGGATTGGAAACCCTGAAACTTCATTTCCAATATTATGGTAGAGTTCTATGTCATTGCTTCCATTGTATCTTTTTTCCCCATCTTCTGTTGCTTGTGCTAATTCCCAGAAATGGGCCAATGTTTCTGCTATTGTAAAATTCTAATTTGGTTCAGTGTCTTTTTTGCTGGTGAGTTTATTGGATCAGTGGGGAAAAGGAGCCAAAACTTAGTGTGAATGCAGCTATTGGTCACATGATGCAGATCTAACTATTTGAAACTAGGTTTTCACCAAAGGAGTCAGCAGAACTGTAGGAACTACAAGCCAACTGGCTGCATCAGTGCCCTGAAATGAATAGGGAATGCCTATCAGTATAAGAAAAAGAATCTGTACGTTCTCAAGCTGAGAGATCCATGAATTGTAAACAATGTTCATTTAACCATAGAATTATGATTCAGTTAGTGCACTATTTAGGTTTTATTTAGTGCAGTTCCAAGTGCAGCTTTGAAGTGTCCCAAAATAGCAGTATTTAGTTTGGGATATTAAAAGTACAGCAGAAGATTTAGCCCCATATTTTCCAATAACATTAATAAAATACATATATCTAGCTTTTGTAGACTGCTTTCAGAATCTGTGTAAAAGAGCGAAGACTCGCCGCGGCACCTCCTGCTGGTCATCTGGGAATTAGCTCTTTCCAGCGCTCAGAGTGCCTCCTGGTGGCCGGTGTCTTGTCTGCCTAGGCCCCCATGTCCCTCCTGGATCCCGGTGCCCCTTACCCTGGGGTTCTTTCCCCCCAGTAGTCCCCACACTCTGGGTCTCCCCTCTCAGGGGAACCCCCAACCCTCTACACCCACCTTGCCTCAGTGGCTATTGCCAGTCATCATCTAGCCCCCTTTTGCTGGGGCAAACAGCAGTCTGTAATGGCCACTCATCATTGGCAAGGGGGTCAGATCAGCTGCCTCTGCCTATCCCCAGGCTACACCTCTGCAGCCCCAGTACCTCTTTAGGCCTTTAACAAGGCCTCAGCCTGGGGAGTTGCCAGGCTGGAGCTCCCCAGCTCCTCTTGCCCTTGCCCTTGCCCTTCCGCTGCTCTGCTTCTAGTACCCTGTAGTCCCAGGCAGCTAGGCCCTTCTCACTCCAGCCCTGGAGTGAGACTCCCAGCTCCTCCCTTAGCCCTTCTTATAGGGCCAGCTGTGGCCTAATTGGGCAAGGCCCCAGCTGTGGCTGCTTCCCCAAGCAGCCTAGCTTTTTCTATCGGAGCGGGTAACTGCCCTGCTACACTCAGATATAGGCTTTTTGTCTCTATCACCATGGAGGTTGGTGTGTGTGTGTGTGCGTGCACAGATAGTTTCTGCTTTGGGTTTTTTGTCGTGTGCTTGGCACACCTCAATTGCAGAGACCTGGCCCTTCCTTCACAATGTCCCTCTGTTGCTATCGCCTCTTTCCTTACTTTCTTCATCCCTTTTTGGTCATAGGCATATTTGGAGATGGATCAAAGCCAGAACTATTTTTATCTGCACACTTCTAAACTTTGGGAATTTAGATAAAATCCAATCCACCCCTCACTGAGGTTCTGTAAATCTCATCCGCTGAAGTTTTGTAAAACCAAATTCTCTCCAGATTTTACAAGAGAGAGTGACCCAGTCTTGTCTTGTTAATATATGCTGTGTACATGCCAAGGGCACAACCGGAATTTTCCTAAGGAGGGGGCCCAGAGCTCTCATTCCCCTGCCTTGCACCCAGCCCCAAGCTCTCTCCCCTGCTGCTCCCTTATACCCATCCCGAGCTCACTCTCACGGCCTTTGCACTGAGACCCGTGCTCGCTTTCCTGAACCGAGCTCCACACAGACTCCCTTCCTGCTGCCCCACACCAATCCCTGGGCTTTCCCCCAGGCATTACCCCACACCCAGTTTCAAACTCTCCCCTCTGCACTCACCCCCATGGTCTCTCCTCTCCACATGCAGCCACATGCTGTTCCCTTGATCGTGCCCCACACCCAGCTCTGAGCTCCCCCGCCCCCCGCACCACACCCAATGCTAAGCTGTTTCCCCAGAGAGGCGGTCAGGCTGAATTGCACCAGGGTCCAGGCTGTTCTGGGAGCCCTAAGTCCCATACTCCTTCTGCAACTCCACTTCCCCTGAAAGCATCAAAGCCAAGATCCAGTTCTCCCATTCTCCTGGGGACTGGGAGTTCCTGGAGCCCCCTGTTCTGCTTGTCCCCAGGGGTTGGGGGACCAAGTGCCCCTGGGTGCACACATGGGAGACCAAGCAGACGCAGGGGTCACAACACTACTCAAATTTGGCCTAGCTGCCCCTCCATCATTGCCCAAGCTGCAACTTCAAAGCACTGTCTATACAGCTATTTTTAGAATGCAGGCACCAGCCTGCTAATCAAAGTCTGTCAACCTGGGCTGAGAAGCTCATTCTTGCTCCCACCAAAAAGCTGTGTAGACATATCGCAAGATGTTTGTTAGCTTGGCTGGAATTGAATATAAGCACTCTCTCTGAAACCAATGGATCTGCCATTGACTGGGTATTTTTAAAGTACTTTTGACCAGGGTGTGGAGTGAAGGCGTTGCAACACGTGCCTGGGGTAAATTTTGCGGTTTAGTTAATGTACATATCTTTTAAAGTGCACAGCAAATGAGGCAGGTTTTACTTTGCAAGATATGATGTAAATTTAAGCAAATGACTAATTTTTCAGTTAATTTTCTGTAAAGCACTTTGGGATCTACCAATGAACAAGTGCCAAATATTATTATCAGGCATATTTCACAGACGGACTTGTGTGTAATGGAATAAACCCCCTGACCTCTAAGCATAAAGACCTGGTTTTAAACTCTGGGTCTCACATTCATTTATTATGTAAACTCATGCAGAACATTTAGCCCCATCTGTAAATTGCTTTGAGATTTATAGAAGAAAGTAAAAGTGAAAAATATTATGGTTTATCAAAGACTTTAACTAGTTTGTAAGTTATGTGCTGATGCCTATTCTTCTTGCTCAAAACTAAGTCTATACACTATGCAGAGTCAAAAATTCACCCCCTTCTTGGCATTTGGCTTTATTAATAAAGAAAATATCATAAAATTCACCCAGAGCCTTCTCTCCAGGCTGGGCTGTGTTCTAGGACTCCTACCACAGGACTGCTCAGCTCACTCTCTAGATCCTCTCTTTGGAGAGCCACTCCCACCTTCCTTATATGTAAGTGGGGTAGCAAGCCATCTGAGACAGTGAGTCAGCAGAGCCCACTTAACCCTTTTGCATCAGGATCAGCATCTGTGACTAGGTTGGGTAATTCAGGCAAACACCAACAACCTATTACAGTTTAGCTTAAGGGTCTATTTTAGCAGCCATTCAGCATCAATTGCATAGGATACTGGGTCAATGTAAATGCAGATCCCATGTTTCCACCCCTCTGATGGGTCCTGCCTACCCTCCTTGCAGCCATCCACACTGGCCTATGTGGAACTGGTGCAGAGACCCAGAGTTAAGGTGATATAGGAAAGGAATCAAGGTTCCTACACCATGGTTTGTACTTACTGTACCACACAGAGGGTTCTAATGCCATCTAGAAAATAGTTGTACATGGGTAAATTCAATTAAAAAAACTGTATTAAAAGAACATTAAGGTTGCAAACTGAAATACTTAAAAGTCAGGAAGTGGTAAAGTTAAATTTGTGTGCTTAACCTTAAATCTGCTCTCTTCTGTATATGCATTATAATGTAGTATATTATTACATAATGATATAATAGATCAAACAACATTTTAAATAAAGCCTTAGATTCCTTCTTGCAGCACGTTGTAAAAATAAATGCTACTCTTCCTCTGGGATACTGTCACATTGTTTCTCAGATTATGCAATATAATACCATAGTATGTTAGACAGTATTGTGTTTTAAATATTAGAGATTCACCAAGTGACTCTGTAGGCAGTAGCCTACCTTAAACTGGTAATTGGCCTTCATTATAGCCTGTGGAGCACAGCTACTGGCTCTTATCTTCAGGAAGATGTTGAGAGCTGTGCTTGCTTGCTCTTTCGCGAGCCCTTGCAAATACACACACATACACGTACACACACACTTTCTCTCTCTCACTCCCTCTAATACACATGCATTTACACACTTCGGCATATTTTTAGAATATCTCTTGGAAGACTCTCGCTGTTCTGCTGGGTATGATTGTCTGATGTTTTTCTTACCAGGTACTTGTATAGTTCAGCCTTATTTAAACACTGTTATCTCTTTGATCAAAGTCTATAACCTGAAATTTTGAGCTGGAAAAGAAGTGTGGGGGGAAATCTATCAAGTACATATATATTTAAACGTCTGCTGCTGTCTCTGTATGTATGCAGTGATTCAAATGTATTTACTTCAGTGAAATCTTGCAAGTGCAGATTAATCATTGGCTTTTTTAGCAAAAGCTCTAAAAATGTAATATTATGATTCAAGTATTGTCTATTGAATTAAACAATTTATAGTAAAGTTGTTTTGAAACTATTTTAAGTTGAAGACAAAAAAATAAATTTCTCAGTGGATTCTTTTTAAACCTCCATCTCACTTGATGATCAGAATGTCCAAATGCTGGGCTGAATGAATGTAGAATTATTTTAGTATGGCTTGGATTTACGTTAATAACTAAATCATGTTATCTAAAGCCTTGTATGCGTCTGTTGGGGGTTGGCACTAACCTAACTGTGCCAGCTGAACCGTAGACCATTATAGCATTGCTATAGAACTTGAAACAATTTTCGGAGGTTTTCGTTAGGCTGATGCAAAACAAGTAGCTTCTGCAAAGTTCAAATAATATGGGAATAAGTTGCAAGATGAAACTTGCTTGCCACACCTTTCCTCTACAATTCTGTTTTCTCTTGCTGAGTTTTAAATATAGTTTTAAGGGGGACATTTCAATTTATTGTAAAGTTGGTCCCTTTGGATTATTTTGATTTCCCAAACTCTGATCTCTAAGTTGAAGTGTGCCAAGTATTTGTCAATGGACAAGGAGGAAGAACATCCTTCTGCTGGACTTATTAATATTCAGTTCATATTTCACGTAATTAACATGAATTTTGTCTAACTGTCTTGGGTTTTACATGATGGTCTGAAAGATGTCTTATTTCATGTTTAAGTTTATGTTGCTCTGATTTTACATGCTGTACAAGAAGCAGGCAGAAATGTATAGAAGAATTTAACTAAAGGTTTCCCCTGCCTTTTCGTGTTACTTTTTACACTTCAGTTAAATACCAGGAATCATTATAATTTAGCACATTTATATATGACTTTTTTCCTATATAGATAGAATACATCCATTGATTTCTGTTAAATACAGTTTTACTGACTGGCTGGCTGCACAAACACACACACACATACTCTGCTCTGCCATATCTCAGTTACAGTGTAGTCCTACCCAGGGTCATTACAATGTACACATTACATATTTCTAGCAAACATGAAAATGAATCAAACAGGACTAGAGATAAACAGAGATAGATTGGAGCCTGGCGGGGGCATAAAAAGCAGTAAGCTGACTGACCACTGGACTAGTCTTCCTAGTTTGGTATAAGCACTGTTTTCCCTCAGCCACCCTAGAGCAGCAGGACCCCATGAAGTGAAAAATTAAACAACTAATAGGAGTAAAGTTTAGTGGAACAATTATTTGGTATCACTCCAAAACTAATTGTTTCTGAAGAGATGTTTAAACCAATGTCAGTGCAAGGCAAGAGTTCTTGGCCTATGGCCAGCACCTTTGTAATGCATATTAGCTCAGATGAGGAGTACTTAAAAGTTAGAGAGAGAGAGACAGGGAGAGAGAAAGAGAGCGTTTTCTCACTGCTCATGCTGCATTGGATTGTATTCTCCTCCTTGCTGAGACCAGCTGAATACCTGTGCAGTGCTTCCTTAACATGATTTTTGCCAAGGCTGACACCAGGCTCTGCTCTTTTTTCAGGTGGACTATCAGCTGTTGATCCCTCTGCTGACAGTAAAAAAAGACATTCCAATTGCTCGCTGCCATTAACAATGACCATGACCCTTCATACCAAAACCTCTGGAGTTGCCCTGCTGCACCAGATTCAAGGCACTGAACTGGAGACTTTGAGCAGACCTCAGCTGAAGATTCCCCTGGATCGGTCACTCAGTGAGATGTATGTGGAGAGCAACAAGACAGGGGTTTTTAACTACCCAGAAGGCACCACTTATGACTTTGCCACTGCCGCTCCGGTGTACAGCTCTACTAGCCTCAGTTATGCCCCTGCTTCTGAATCATTTGGGTCCAGCAGTCTGGGAGGGTTTCATTCGCTGAACAATGTCCCTCCAAGCCCCGTGGTATTCTTACAAACGGCGCCACAGCTCTCACCCTTCATCCATCACCACAGCCAACAGGTACCCTACTACCTTGAAAATGATCAAAGCAGCTTTGGGATGAGAGAAGCTGGCCCTTCAACCTTCTACAGGTAAATCTTACCTTTGATTTATTTTAACAGGATATGTAAAGTAGGATGTAGAGAAGCACAGAATTGTCTCTGTATAAAAGGCCATGTAGTCTGATCAATTGAGTCACCAGTGAATAATTAGACTGTAAATGATAGTGTGCCGTAAACAAAACAGCTGTTGTGACTGTTGAGTAATTGTTGCTGTAAATGTTAGAAAGTGTACGTATATGAAAAATAAGCATAAAAAAAGATAATGAACATAAATGTGACCTAGGAAAAACAAGCCTAAAATCATAATCTGCAAAAGAATGGAAAACAAGAACAAAAACCACATTCAATAAAAATGAGAGTCTGAAATACACTAGAAGGGATTTCTCCACCACCTTTGGTTAACTTCAGACCTGGTGTAAGTGATAGTTTGAGTCTGTAGCAAGAGGCTCTTTCCTTTGGCTGCCTGTAGAATGCTATGGGTGGCTTATACGAGAAGCTGTTCAGAAACTCAGTGTCCTTCTTAGCAAAACTGTTGTAGTCGACTTAATGGCAAACAGCATTTCAATCATACAGAGCCTTTAGGAGTGGCAATAAATGCCTCATACCTGAAATGCATATTTGCTTGGAGAGAGATAAGGAGATATTGTTTCCCTAAACTAGCACATTTTATTAAAAGACAGGGTATTTTTACTTTCTTTTCTCTATAGCGTCTTGTGTTTCTTAGTGGAACACTTCTATAAAAATGTTCTATGGGGGAGTATTGGCATTAATATTTTTGCAGTTGTAGATGCATTTCAGTACTTTTTTTGGATTAGGTGGTGGAATGTGGCTGCAGACAATTTTTAGATGGGATAGAATATATAAAACATCTTTAAGAGATGCCAAGGTTTTTATCAGCTCTCCTTCCTCATTCTTAATTTAAAAATAAAATACCCCACCCGCAAAATAAATAAATAAATCTCCATGACAAAATGAAAATGTATTTTTTCTTTATTGGGAAAATACCAGGAATGCAACGCCCCTATATCCACTCTCTTCCGAATTTTAATGTTTGGTAGCAAAATTTTGCAGGATATTGTGCTGGGTTATGTTAAAGGCAATTTCCCCCCTCCTTAATCTGTGTCTCTGTCTCAGTTATCTGGGAGGTCTGAGCAACAAACTGCAGTTTAGGAAAAATTACTGTGTGTAATATTTAAGGCCAGCTTCTTGCACCCTAACTCTATTGAACAGTAAAATAATACTCAGTATGAGTAAGAATCAGGCCACAAATCAGAGAGGAAGATTGAAGTTTTGAAAAGGATTTGTGTATCAGATGGAACTGGAAGCAGTACCTTTTAAAAAAATCATAGCATGGGATTACAATAAACTTGCTATTGATGGTCTGTACTGATTATCTCACATTGACAGCCACGGTAGTGACTTGAACTAAGTTAGAAAAAGCAGTGCTGTTTCTATCTCTGTAGGGCTGTACTGGATAGGATAGTGCCCTGAAAACACTAAACTTTAGCTCTTTTTTCCTCTTGGGCACGGACCAAATCACAAATATCCCAGCAAATAAAATAATTTTAATAGTGCTCAATTTATGAAGATATTTAAAGATAAAATCAGGAGTTCAAGTACAGGCATTTCCAAAAAGGCAGTAGAGGGCACAAATTCCATACATCTCCAGTTTGCTTTACTCATTTCAGTTGTCCCATTGACTTCAATGGGATTAGATGAGTAAGGAGAGCAAAATTTAGTCTTTTGGTGTAATAGTGTTGTATGATTGTGTTGGAGAGTCACAATATTTGCAATGGAGCATCACAATAACATTATGGTTTAGGGATGCAAATGCATTCTCTGAGGCCAAATCAGCTGGAGCAGTAACTATTTAATAATTACTTACAATAAGCAGGAGATGAAGGTGTATTCTGCCATGCACTGCCCCACTTTACATGGTTAAAATGTTAGAAATTTTCCTCCTCCTCCTCACTCTCTTATTGAAGAAGTTAAATACAAATTATATTATATTTAATTAGCATGACATTTTGCATGTATACAGATAGATCTATGTATGAATTCAGTATCACTTATATTTGATTTATTTATTAATTTTTCCTTGTGTTTTTCAATACATTTCCATTGAAAAATAGTTCCTCTGAATTTCACTGCATGCTAATGACATACTGTATGTCTAGTACTGGATACTATCTTTTCTTATCTTACAAAGGTAGTATGTTCAAATCATGAGTGAGGAGTAGCTGTGGTTAATCTTTTAATTTTCTTGGAATTTTTGCATGTTTTATTGTCTTTTTGCTATTTTCAGTACTTAATTTATCAAATATTACTATGTATTTTAATGACAATATTGTCATTTATATTTTGTGTGTATGAGTATCTTGCTATCAACTAAGAAAATGACTTCAGCTGATCTCAGTTTTTATATTTGATTTTGGTGTAAAAATTTTCACTGTACTTTGCAATAGGTTTCTGTCTCATTCAGGAAACACCAGAGGAGCCCTCCAGTGGCTCACTTAACACCTGTAAATCCCCATAGACAGCAACAGATTAATTCCTTTCTGTTGCCCTATTAGAAAACTAAAAGGTTACCCCACGGGCCTTGCACCTTCTAAGGGTCAGATACAAAAACTTGTCTGCCCTCTGTCTGGCTAGGAAGCTGGCTCCAAATTCAGCACAAACTCACACACAACCAGATTGGACCTAGTATCCAGTCGATTATGGAGCCACTTATTTGTCTGTAGCAAAACACAAGACCAAGTCAAGTCAATACACTAGAGGAAACATTCTATGAAAAAGCATCTGTGCATCACTAACACTCTCTGTCTTTCTCTCTCAAATGGAGCCGGAATGTTTTCTGGTGCCTCAAGCCTAGAGCATATGAATAAAGTATCTGTTTAATTTTGCAGATGGGTAATATCTCCAAAGCTTATTAAGGCTGAATTATTATAAAATGTCTCTTGGCTGTTTCCCATCAATGTGATCATGTTAATTCTTAACACTTGCCTAAAGCGGTCCAAAAAAAATGACAAAGATACGTTGATCCCCATCCTGCTGGAGTTCATAAATCCCCACACAGGGTATCAGAATTTGGAAAAAGAGAGCTGACACTGCTAGCCTAAACTGTTTTCTTTAGCTTGAATGACTTCAGTGGCTAAATCTTATGGCTGTTTATAGAGGGAGCGGAATTTTAAAAAGTACCACAGTATATACAAAATCCAAGGATAAAATGTTTTCTTTTCTTTTTAAATATAGTGTGGTGTGCTCTAGTATAAGGGAATATCCATGTAGTAGTCTCTTTTCTGTGGAAAGTTTCCTTTTGATTTCACAGTTGGCGTTAGGCATCCATAATATAGGAATGCTGATGTTATGTCCTGAACACTAGGAATGGTTCTGTTTATAAAGCCTGTCCTCCTGTCCCTGTCAATTTTGCAAAAATGGCTGATAGAGGAAGGATGGCACCAGACTTCCCTATGTTATAAGGGTGTTGTGAGAATAAATCCATTAGAGATTGTGATGTGCTCTGATTTTATGGTGATGGGGGCCATAAAAGTACCTAAGAGATCTATATTTACTAGTTCTTCTTTGAGTATGTGTCAGTGTGGGTCCCACTCTAGGTGCACATATGCCCCATGCACTCAAGATTGGATTGTTCTTCATGATAAGCATGTGAGAATCAGTACACTTGGAATAGGTGTAGGAGTGTGCACGAGGCATGCACAGCGCCAGTCAAGGAAGCCAAATGTTGCTAAGACTGGGTGGCTGAGTGAATGTTTATTATTGCTGTTTCTTGCTGGTCCAAGTCACAAGTATAACAAACAAGATGAAAGAAATAGGAAACACATCGAAAATACTACAAAGAGAATTTTTCACAAATGTCTTGGAGGCAAATTTCACTGTTCTTATGGACACAGTGAATTGGTAGTGCTGCCTATACTTAAGGTTGCCCTACACTTCCCATTTTAAGACCCAGTTTTCAGTTGCTTATAATTTTGTCAAACTTCAACTGTTCAGGCTGAAATTTTCTATGCCAAGTGTCTGCCTCAAGATGATTTTTTTTCTTTTTTAAAGTTTCAGCCAAAATGGCTCACCTGTTTCTGAGAATGATGGGAAAATACCTTGTTTTGCCTGTGTTAAAATGGTCTTGTTTGTTTTTTGTTTTTTGTTTAAAATTGAGACACTCTAGTGCCTCCATGCCGTAGAACAGTTTGGCATTGGGAGGTCACCCTGGTGTCAGAGATGTCCTTTTTTGCCTTTCCCAGGAAATCCTGCCCAAATTTGGCCAAGTTATAAGCCTCTTAAAAATCTCAATTTGAATGTACTCAGTAGACATTTGTTAGCGTTTGCCAGTGAGATTCTCTGAAGATTTCATCTGGATGGAGCATGCTGCATCACCTTACAGTTCCTATATGCTGACTGGACTGTGTATGCATCACCCCAACAGAGCGACTGAGCATGCTCCATCCCAGGGCAGCTGGGGCTGTGGAGGACTTTCACTGCAATTACTGCTCCTGGCTGATGCAGATCACTGTGGTGTCAGGCTACAGAAACTGATATCTGGAAGACTGTCTTTCTTGTACTCTTAAGGACCCTCCTGCTGGCTCAGCCAGCATGAAACAGCAGCCTGACTCAAATGCAGAGAAGTCAAGAGGTGGACTGGGCAGGGGGACAGAGAGAGTAGAGACTAGATTGGTACAAGGAGTGTGGGGGGCGAGGGAAGGGAGACTGTGAGTGGGGTGGAAACTGGGAATAGGAGATCAGGTGAGGAGACTGTGAATGACTGGGTAAGGTGACTGGGAGCTAGGAGCTGGTGTGGGGGTGGAAAGACTAAGATTGGATGAGGAGCAGGAGTGAGACTGGGTCTGACTGGACAAGGAGACTGGGATACGGAGCCCAGGAAGGAGTCTGGGACTTTGACAGGGGGCGTGGAGAGCGAGACCTGGACTGGGTGAGCAAGGGCAATAGGGTTGCTGAGGGGAGGAAGAGACAGGACTTGGGACAGGTTCAGGCTGGAGAGTACAGGAGTCAGATTT